TAGCATAGCAGCTGTGATCATGACAAGAGGTATGGTTATGTGGATCACCTGTTAGATCCTATCCTGCTTTTACCTGCACATGTAGAGGTGGCCTGTGCATTTGCTCAAAAAAATGGCCCAATTGCTGATAACTTCATTCATTATGGTACCAGTCACTGGTTAGGGACATAAACAATACCTAAAAATAATTGAAGAGGACCTTTTAAAGGAAGGTTTTTGGTCAGTGATTCTCAACCAAGATAGTGAGGCACCCTGGGATGCCACCAGTTCCTTTGAAGAGTGACATAAGGTGTGAGGAGATAAGCAAGGTATAAGGAGATAAGCTAAATAGATAAATGCAGACTCAGGTTGTCTCTGCCTAACTGATCCTGCACCTTACTGCCTAGCCCTTCTGCAAGCAGGAAGACACTACAAAATATAAATTAGTTTTGAAATTTGCTATTCAATTCATAAAAGGTGCCTTGAGTCCAATGAGGGGTGCCTTCAGTCCAAAAAGTTTGAGTACAACTTCTGTAGGTTAATTCTTATTCCCTTAGAGCAGTGATTCTCAACCATGCTGCCAGGTCACCCTGAAGTGCCATGAGATCCTTTGAAGGGTGCCACAGGAAGTGTGAGGAGATAAATAAAGTGTGAGAAGATAAGCAATTAAGAGCAGGCTTAGGCTTTCTCTGCCTAGCCATTCCCTCACCCCCACTATCCAACCCTCCTGCAAGGAGGTGAACACTGTAATAAATAAATCAGCTTTTGAAATGTGATGCCACTCAATCCACAAAAGTTAAGGAGTCTTAAGGGGGAGGGAAGGCTGAGAACCACTGCCTTAGAGAATATTAACTCCATACCTTCTCTTCCACGCCCCCACCTAGAGTACATATATATCATAGCTCCCTTTGTGAGATAGCATTTGCTCCAAAAGCCCTTCCACTGTACTTCCAAACTATACAACATTAAAACAATTGCTTTTTTTTTTATCTAGTTTGTCCATTTTCTTTCCCTACTAAGCAATAAAAGAAAATGAGACAGAACAAACTGAAATAATTGAAAGTTTACAAAAGCAAGAAGGCACATCAGGGCCCAGGGCAATTAATTCATTTCTTCATGAAGTCACTTCATTCTCAGTTCCCTGTATTAGAGTCAACCTGCACCACTGTGTAACTGTCCAGCTACACCTTCTGATATTTTTCACCTTCTGACAGCACCTTCTCCATTTCAGTTGCATATGGCATTGTAAAACTTCAATCAGCTGAGCTGAAATTTTCTATGCCAGATATCTGCTTCAGAATGACCATTTTTGAAAGTTTCAACAACAACAGTTCAAGTGTTCCCAGAATGAGGGTTAGGGGAAAAACACATTTTGTGCATGCTAAAATTCTTACAATTATTTTTGAAAGATGCTTTAATGTCCTTATACTTCAGGGCAGTAACTTAAAATTTGGTGGGTGGGATCCAGTCCTGTATCCAGGGCTCGTTCTGGTGCTGTGCTGAGCTGGACTTTCCCTGAAATCACTGTGGTTTACTATGGCACCATGCATGAAAATGATGAGTGGACTCTGCTGTCAGTGCTGCCCCTGGTGAGAGAATAGTTAGCTGCATTAGTCTGAAGTAAGGCAGAAGGCAGACTAGATATGTACCTTAGAGATTAACTACATAAGATATAGAGAGAGATCTATCTAGCTATTTATCTATCTTTTTAGTCTATAAAGTTCTCTCGCTGCTGACATCCAGCAGTGATGAAGCAGTGAAGGCTGCTGCTTAGCTGAAAGTACAAAGGACAGAAGACAAGGCACAAAGACTGACAAGGAGATTGGGCTGAAATGAGGAAAACCAGGATAGGGCAAACCATAGAAATTGGGACTGGAAGCCAGGAAGAGCAGCAGAGAGTGAGATTAGAGTTGCTGGAGGTGGCGAGGAAGACTGACATTGGATGAAGAGCTAAGGAAGGTTGAAGGCTAGGATTCATAGCTAGAAGTCTGGACAAGGAAGACCGCAATAAAATGAGGAGCCACAGGAATGTATAACTGAACTGAGAAAACAGAAATGAAGGGAAGGTGACAAGTAGCAACTTATAATTATGCAAGTCTGAGACAGCATTTAGTCTTAACCTGTGGTGGCTCTGAAACTTTTATAACTTTGATGGCATAAGACATCACAGATTTAAAAAGATTTAAAGGTAACCTGTAGCAGCAACTTAGGCACTTCAGAATGGGATCCAAAACAGCCCGCACAGTAAAAAGGAAGCTTTCTTAAGTCAATACATTCATCATGCTAGAACTGAATGCTATAGCTAACCAATAGGAAATGCAGAGGAAATAGAAGAATCTTAAATCCATCCCTCAGAGTTTATTCAGTTTTCAGGGAAATAACTCCATTCTCTGGGGATCCACATCTCAGAGCTCTGTTGAAGGTAGTTTCTGAGGCATCTTTCTTTTAATGAACTAAAGAGTGAACCCTGGACTGTTTGCATATTTTAATATTAAGCAGTCACTGGATAAAATGTATAGACAGGTACTGAACTCACAGCCTCACCCTTCCCAGGTAAGTGCGCTACCTCCTAGCCTGGAGTCATACCCCATGCTATACTGTTTCTAACTTAATGAATCTTGAATTGTTTTCTACACAGTGGAACAACTTCAACAGGATTAGTGGTGGGAAGGGATAGGGAGGGGGCGGACATACCCTGAAACTGTGTGGGTGGCAGGACTTGTACGATCAAACCCCTTGGGGCACAGAGGGGAATTGGATAGTGGGCAACTGCTGTAACCACCAGACTACATACAGGAGGGAAGGGGGTAACCTCTTTGTCCAATCATGTTTTAAAGGAATATGGTGGCAACAATTATATTTTATGAGGATCCCGATCCTGTCAGTATGTTAGGTGTGCTCTGAGAATGCCTGCTAGATTAGGCTCCTCAGGAGACTTATACAGGAGATTTCTGAATCCTAGCTGGGCTTAGACATGAGCTAGGCACCAAGCTGTTCACAGCCCTGTCAAAAATAGAAGTGCTAGATGCCTGAGAAACTCTGACTCAAAAGACAGGTACCTCTCGGGGCTGGGTATGTCTATAATTAGGTGGCAGCTGAACAGGGGTTTACAGGATTGCAGTTTGGGATTTAGATGCCATAATTCTACCTAAATCCCACGACAGACATCTAAATCTCTTATTAGATCTGGCCTGAGGAAACTACCTCCTATATTGGTACTGAGATAACTTATTAATCCCAAGATGCATAAGGGTCCAAGGCCCCAGCAGCCAAGAGCCAGGGATGGTAAAACTGGAAGGAAGGCTGATCTCCATAAATGCTTGTAGGACTCTCAGGATGGCTTGGGTGTAGGCAGATGAGAGGGTTAAGAAGCTGTACTTATTTTGTTTTTCTATCTCCAGACCTGTGGTCTGCTTTGCTTGTATAATTCGTTTCCTTTACATAATGAATGCTGTTGTCTTCTTACTGATTGCCTGTGGAAAGACTGATTTTTGGGCAAGTGATATTCCAGGCTAGCTTTTTCTATGGAAAGTGGGATTACTTTCACAATGCAAAGGAGAGGCCCCCTGGAGCTGGCAGAGATTCTCTTGCTGCAGCTTTGGGGTCAGGTATGGGAGCAATAGAGCTGAGGCCTGTGGGGGTAAGGAGTTATCCCGAGGTAACCTTAGTCTGTTCCTTGGGACAAAAAGCAGCACAGTGGTGAAAAAATCTGGGCTCTGAGGGTTCCCCATAAACAGGTTTGTGACACCTGCCATATTAAGCAAAACTAGAGAAGCAATATGTAAACTGAGATAAACAGATTTTTTTAACCAAATATTTTATTTGGCCCTAAGCCCACAAATACATACTTGCATGACTCCAAGCACACAAGCAGCAACCAAAGTCAATAGAACAACTCATAGTACATGAAGTTAGGCATCTGCATGTTTGCAGGCTCAAGGCCTATGTTCTGTCCTGGGATTCTCCTGCCCATGAACAAGTCTCCTGGGGCTTTTCTTTATTCATGTCTTCACCATAACTCTGTGGAACTCATGCCTTGTATGTGGCATGTGCAGATAAAGGCATGTTTTATATTGTACATCACGTGGAAAGTTCTCTCAAGTATTTTTCCCCCCACAATTTTTCCCCACAAGTCATCCAACTAATTCTCAAACATGAAACATGCTCTTTTAGAATTGTATTTTAAAACGGAAAATTAAGCAAAGGTCTGCAGTAGAGATGTATAAAAAAGAAGTTAGTCTTTGCCAGTTCATATCCTCACATGAGTTTTTAATTTATACAGTGTTGGTTGAAGGAAAAAGCATGAACACATTAAAATTTTATGCCTCTTCTCCAAGTGGGAAGAAGCATTTCATAACAGGATTTGTATCAGATAGCTATGGACCTTCTCCACATTTAATCTTTCATACCAAGTTAAATATTACTTCTTTTGCTCTACAGAAAAGGGAGGAACAGCTTTTTGACAATGCTTTTTTTGATAAAATACAAGGTATTAAGCAAAAGCTACACTTCATATTATTGACCCTGTATCTTAAAGCTAAAAGGCATAAGCAAAAATAATAATCATTGCTACATGTTAACACAGAATCCATTTTCCTGTCAATGAAACTCGTAATATCATGAAAAAGAAAATCAGTTCTGCAAATCTGGTATGCTTTTGCTTTATATAATTGGATTGTAACAATCGGTTATTTCTGGTTATAATATTAAAATACAGTGCTTAGAGATTCAAATCTAAATCAGAATGGAAAAATTAGTCCACATAAAATAAGGTCTGATAAATCTTAATGAAAATTCAAACAGAGGTCAAGTGTTTTTTTGGATGGAGGCAAGGATGGGTTTTCCTGGAAAACAAAGGAGTTTACTTAACTTTTCAAAGAAGAAATAAATCAGCTCCTCTGCTACTCAGTTTCAGAATTAATTGAACCACAGCATGTTTCAATATTGATACAGTAAAATTAAACAACATAAGTAATGACAACCCTACATTTCTTGAATACCTTTCTGCCCAATCTTATTATTGTATTGTCTTACATACAACACACCCAAATAAAATACACACCTTGTTTTTGAAAAGCAAAAAGAAAGATAAAAAATCCTTGAGATTCAAGGAACTGGGCGACAGCAGGGAACGGGTGGAGAAGGGAGGCAGGAAAAAGAGGTGGAGAGAATGTCCACAGCCAGAAGCTAGGGAGCCCTGCATGCAATACAGTTTTACTTTCTTTTTCCCCTGGCAAGGAGTTAACTAGCAGAAATTGCTATTACTGTATTTATATTTACTTGATTATAATGTGCAACCCAGTTTCTATCAGTTGAATTGGGGTTGGGGGAGGGAGTGTGTGTTGTATGTAAGAAAATATGGTATATTATTTGTATTAAACCAGTGCCTGAAGGATATAACTGATATCAGGGTCCTGTGTACTGTGTGCACCATACTAACATATAGAAAGTGATGTGCTTTGCCTTGATAAGCTTACAAACTAAAAAAAACAAACAAAACAAAAACAAAAAAAAAGCAGCAGCAGGCCGAGTAGGAAGAGAATTTAAAAAAAAAAAATCAACACTGAGGCACATGAATGGTTGCTCTGAAAATAATAGAACTAACCAGGGTATGCATTTTTACAGGTACTTCGCACCATTATCTGGCATTGTGAGAGAGAACTACTCACTGACTTTCCTGCTTACAAATTTCATTCAGCTTGTCCTTCCTTTCAACTGCTGCACTTCTCTACTATGTTCTATTGTATTCTGGATTTTGGAGGCTTGTTTCAAAAGAGCTTGCAGATCTGCTTAGCAGCTGAGCAGAGTTTGGTTTAATTTTACTCTGTTATTGTAGGTTTTGAAGGATTTTGTTTTAATCAACAAAAGAACTGCATTGATTTTGTACAGTCTTTGATTTTTTCCTCTCAATTTAACCATTTCTAATTTTTGCTTGAGGCACAATATCATTATTGTGCCTCAGGCAAATAATGATATAATCGGTGTCCCTGCTCTCACAGTGCAGAGACACTGTGTTAATTCCAGCAAGCCCAGAAAGCTCCAGGGCTGTTGGGTTCTGAGGAGCCTGATCCTTTTTTCTCCAGAGCTCAGGCAGTGTCCATCCCTGCTGCTGCTGATGGAGGGAGCAGAGCCAGTCTGAGCGGCAGTAACAGGAGACTCCAGAGCTGCACTGTTTGCTCGTGCCCAGCCCTGCTGCACCCGTGTCGTCGCTCACCCTGAATCAGATGGGGTCGCTGCTTTCTAGGATACTAGAGGACTTCAACTTCAGCAGATAGCTGTGGGAAGTGGCCACATGGCAATGGAACAGGAAAAAAATTAGGAAGATTGGAGATAACTCTGCCCTGGAATGGCGTAATTTAAAAGTAACAGCAAGTGCTTTAGGCCACTCAAACTGTGATAATGTGCAGCCTGTCCAGAGGTTTAGAGTTCTAGTAGTCACCTAAATTTACCTTGCAACAAGGCCCTGAGAGCAAGAAATGATGCACTGTGCTAACCGCTCCATTACTATATTTTACTATAATTAGCTAAATAAAAAATATAACAAGAAATTTAAGGATCCAAAGTACCAGAATAATTCTTCCTATCCCAAAGCTTCTGTTTTGTTTGGTCTAACTGAAAGATACAGAAAATTACATAATTCTAATAGCCCGTTAATGAGTACCATCTCCCTGGGGATGATCTCTGAAATTCAGTTGAAAATAAATTAATTCTGCATGATAAGGCATGATGCTTCATATAGGGCACGTCTACACATGTATTTAAGCATGACTAAATTTAATTTGCATTAAGCTAATGTGCATTAAATGATTTTTGGAAGGTGTCTGCACATGCAAAGACTTGGCACTAAAGCTAGTGCCATGTCCCTACAGCACTGCCATGTGCCCCAGGTTGCTGGGAAGACCTGGCACTAGTTAGTGCTGGATCACGTCTACATGTGAATTCATGTGCTTTAACTAATCACACCTAAATTTGATACTTGCATTTGAA